ATAAAGGAAAAACTATTGCTTAAATAAGTAAAAGTTTTTCCGCCTGCCTAACATTTTCTACTTGTGAGATGCTTTTAGTTTTTTTGTTGCAGTAAAAGAAATATAATTTTTTGGTGCATTTATTTGGATTTGTTTAAATAACTTTTTCTTCCATAAGCACTGTATAAATACTATATGTACCTTGTAATCGTTCTTTTTCTGAATTGTCGCGCTTATCCAATCGGTAAATTTTTCTTATTTTCACGCTGGCAACACTATTATACACATACTGTCAAAGTTTAACATATATCGTACGATTAGTTTTTGTTTGGCGTCTATACAAAGAAGCTGAAAAATTTTCGTGTGGCGATTTTTAGCTGAATTTCATTCAAAAAAAGCGTCGTTGTGATGTGCTCAAAGAGATGATTTCCAACGCAGATAGTGACCCCACATTCATCGAACATCATAACTGGTAAAGAGGCGTCTATGAATTTGACAACAATAGACCGAATGGTGAAAATTGGATCAAGCGTTGGCATGCATGTATTGCCGCAGAAGGAGAGTACTTTGAAGGCGATAATAAGAAAATTATTAAAAATTAATATTGTGGGCGTTTTTTTAACTTCTCGTTCTTTTTTGATCATAAGGTATTATAGTAAGTCTAACAACTAATTTTGGACAAAAATTGAGTAAAAATTGATATGACATACAAATTAAAATGCAAATTTTATTGTTTTAAACTCTATACCGTCACCGAAAAGTAAGGTTTCCCGTAAAAAACATTAGAATGGCGTTGTACTTCATATATAATGTCAATGTCCAAGAAATTTGTATATTGAAATATGTATTTGCATGAAATTTTAATCATAAGAGTTAGGTTATGAATTAGAATTTAAAATTAGGTTTACATTTAAAACCATAAAATGGATAAACCTAAATATATAATTTTTTTGTAATATAGTTCAATTCTGAAATGGAACTCCAATGTTTTTCGAGTTCTAATGGGTTCATGCATCAAATTTGTTCTACAAGCAAATTTTAAATACTTTAAATTTTGATTAAATTAAAAATACATATAACATATTCAAAGTGCGAGCGCTGCATGTAATGTACGATTGTATATGACATAAATACTTGAAATTGATTTTATATGTGTGATTACATACAACATATCACTAATAGAATAGTTACAACACCAAGTGGTCATAATACTTCAGTTTCAAAATTGCAATATCTGAACTTTAAAATAAAATATAGCACGTACTCTCACCTGCACTTCCAGAGCATGGTATGCTACAATTAAACCTAGAAGAATAACAGTTGAAACTGTTATAAGAGTTTTTAACGCAGTAGAATAAAATGATGCCTATAAAAAAAGAAGAATAATAAAGTAAAAAATGTGTAGAGAAAAGTAAGTAGTTACTTACTTTTGTGTAAACTCCAGCACTACTTAATTCGTTTTCAATGACCATCACAACTATACCAAACATGCCCATTACTAGAGCGTAATCACTAATACGTTTGCGTTTTTCGAATAATGCTTTTCGTTTTCCTAAACGATAACCGACATTAGGTTTATGTTTCGCTGAGTTAGTTGATGGTTTTCGCGAAGTATTACCACCAGTCAAGGCACGTTCCTCCATATACCTAAAAAGTTTTAAAGTTCCAGTAGTTAATAAACGTACTTCTAGTAAATATATGCATTGAATTGATATTAGAAGTAATACTGAAAACTAAACACTAATATATGTATGTTTTTTTTTCACAAATAACCAACGTCTGATAGTGGCGATACAAAAGAATAGAAAGGATTGGGACTAAAGGAATTTCTTGAGTATGGCCTTCACCTACGTGGTAGGCACCTTGACTTGGTGTAGGGGCTTAGCTACAGGCAAGTTTGCTGACTATTGGTCTCCTGCTCACTGTCTATGCAATGGTCAGGAGACTTGTTGTCGGTCTGGCTTGTGGGTACAACAAAGAACTACCAGCAGTTGTGTTGTCCTGTAGTTTATGTGCATGTATGTGTGTCTTTGTCTCTTTATGTATGCATGTATGTTTTTCTGTCTTTTAGAATGATTGGAAGTGTGTAGGTCCACTAGGTGTCTGGGGACCAGGGTTTATGATGAACCAAGACCGTCCATACGTGGTGCAGAGCCACATATTATGGCGGATCTAGAGAGGAAAACTCGATAAAACCCGTAACCCTGGGTGTATAAACGACCGTGCCCAAGGATGAATGGCACTACGTAAGTGTGTCTTAGAACGGTGGACTCCGGATACCTGGCGACCTCCGGTTTCAATTCAGCCTTTCCGGAGTAAAGGGGGCTATGCTTCGGACGACCTCCCTTTCCCCTACACTCGTGGGAACATTTATGGACTCTTTTAAAAAAATTAACAAAAAAAAAACTAACAAGGAACTAGGTACCAGTTCCGAACACGATCTCCTGGCATCAAGTCAAGAAAACGAGCGAGTCGAAACCGCCATACTTACCAATGTAGGCAGTAGCAGCCAGACTGCGCCTACTTCGCATATAACAGAAAAATCGGCAGACAAGCGCGCCAGCCATAGTGCGCCTGCTGAAAAATCAAAAAAGTCTGAGGCAAAGATCAGACGTCAAAGGTACCAGAAGGCTATGTTAATTCTTGGCAAGATTGCTAAAAATGAAGCTGAAGGTAAAGAACAGACGTTTGACCGTACAGACAAAGTACGATACCAGAAGGTGGTCGATTAGTACAGGGAATACCAGGCCATCCTATCAAAACCCGCAAAGGCAATGAAGAGGGATCGGTTTCAGGACGAGACGGCCCATACTTCAAAAAGCAAGGTAGCGAGAACAATTTCTACTAGTAAACCGTCAACGACTGCGAAAAGGGCATATAACGAAGTAGCAAGGGATGAGCTACAGGTGGCGCTCATTGATGATATTACTGGCAATGGAAAAAAGATGCTGGAAAAATGGGGTGAGATTGAGCCCAAGCTGGCGGAAATGGTGATGGAACACCTTTTAACAAATCTAGACGTCCCCACACCAGGCTTTGATTCATCAGAAGTGGTTCGTGGTTGCAGGGTCTTCAAATGTGATGACCAGCTATCCAAAGTATTTCTTGGCAACCGCATTGCTAAGGTAAGTGATGCATGGGAAGGTTTAAGGATAAAGCTTGTCCCAGCCAACGATATCCCTAGAAGACCAAGGGCCCGCATTTGGCTGCCAATTATGAAGATGAAGCACGAGAAAGTACTCCAGCTGCTACAAAGGCAGAACCAAAACGTGCCAATAAATGACTGGGTAGTCATCAAGGACGAGGGCACACAAAAGAACAATATGACGCTTCTTCTGGCGATAAACGAGGAATCCGTGAAGCTACTGGAAGAAATGGACTGTAAGCTGAGGTTTGGCGTAGGGCACACGAAAACAAAAATATTCCGCCCAACAGGCAATGATGATGATGGCAACGAGTTAGAGGATGCTAACAAATTGCTTGACGGCATGAAGCTTCAGGAAGAAGCTGCAGAAACTTCATAAGCCTGCCCGAATGCTGAAAGTAGCACAAATCAACCTTCAGCATTCGAAAATCGCCTCGAACAATCTCGCCATCTTTCTCATCGAGGAGGATGTCGATGTCAGCATCGTGCAAGAGCCATGGGTCAGAGGTAAGGACGTCATGGGGCTAATGCTGAAAAATTATCACAATTTGTATATTAGGAACAATGGTAAGCCAAGATCATGTATATTAGTTAAAAAATGTATTAATCCTCTTTATGTCCACAGTATAGCGATAATGATCTAACAGTAGTAAGGATCGAAATGCCAGGTGGATAAAATTTTATTGTGGCTTCTGCCTACATGGCACATGACAGAGATGCTCCTCCGGAAGAGGTAGTCGCGCTAGTAAACAGAAGTA